TCATTCGATTCATCAACTCTTGCTTGTTAAAACCATAGTTAATAAAATATGGATGAAAAATAGGATTATCCTTTGACCGACGAATAATAGAGTAAGGTTCCATCACGTGATCTGCTTTGTAAGGTAATAGTTTGTTTTGTTTTTCCTTGAGCATGAAATCAACATCAACAATAGCCTATATTAAAAAATACACATAAAATGCTGATACATGAAAAATAGTTGGATGCTGAATTACGGTTTTGTTGTAAGCAGCAATCAACATTGATTTGTTTCGAGGAACTTGATCCCATCTACATTTCACAGTCATGTGTATTCTAGCTACATATATGTACATTGTCCCTCCGTATAGCATGCTTCGTGATCAATGTATTCTTCATTCATAAGGAATGACTTTAGCAAAAATACTGCTTTTGGATCACGTAGAGTCTCGTTATGTAGCATCAAAGAATCATACAATGTCTCTGAAGAGAAAACGTCGATGTCACTAACAAAGTAGTGTGTGGTTTCGATTGACTCAATGGCCAAATCTCTCAGCAGATTGATAGGAAAGATCGTCTCGTCTGAATACGATGGTCCTGTTGTATCATAGAATATGCTTCTATTTTTAATTGATGTTTGATCTTTGATAATATATAATAAGAAAGTAATTTGACGATAGTGCTCATAAGCTTGAATCAAATCGATCGTTGAATGCAACTCCGATTCCATTATCATAATACTCATCATGATTCGATGTTTCCATCGTTTCATTAAATAGGGAAGTCTATCTTGCCTATTCAGAGACAGAATTGTGATTAGAGTGATGTCATCAAAGGAATTTGGATTGTCTAGTGTTAATATATGAGCCAAAAATATCTACAAGGCATTCTCTGGAACGAAGAACACCTTCTCTTTCTTGTATCATACAGCATCACATAAAACTCTTGGCAATGAGAGAATGTTGTACGATCATGGCAGGCAAAAAACAAATCACTCTTGTATTTGTTAAAAAACGTTTGTAGATCCTCTGAAGTCTGACAAGTTGCATGATGACATGGTTTGAGTTCATAAGGAGCCAAACGATGAAAACACTCTTTTTCATTGCTGAGTAACTCTAGTTCTGGAATATCCTTCAATTTCTGGACATAGACATCATGCATTCCATAGTCATTATCTAATTTTGCGAAGTAAGTATAATTTGCTAAAGTAGAACAAGGCAACCGTGTCCGAATTGAGGGTAATTGAAAAATAAGTTGATTATCCATGGCAAAAGAGCATAGCATTAACCACAATTCAAACGAAAATAAAGTCAACAACACAAAGAGGGCTATTCCTGAATATAAAAGATTCATAAAGAAAATACTAAAATAGTAGGTGATGTTACCATTGTATATTTTTTTATGTTTATTTTTTAATCATTTTTATTTTTACGACTGAGGAAAATACAATTTGAAATACTAATTGAAATATTATATGAGTGCTCTATTCCAAAAAACGATAAAATAAAAACGGAGCACTTTTTGCACCCATTCGTTTGTATTTCAACTGTATTGTATATATAATAAATGGTCACTGATAATGCACCCTTGATGTTTATTTTGTTTATTATTGAACCTCGTGCGTTTAACAAATATTCTATAAAAAAGCAATATTCTCATCATTTTGAAGCAAACACCTTGTTTTTGTAGATTCTCATCTAGATTTAATTGGAAATCGTTGAAAATATCAAAACCACTTGAATAAAACCAATATACTATTGAAAACTTAAATACTTGAAATGGAATATTCAAGTGAACAGACATAATAATACGTTCTGATATTCTTATTCTATGTAATAACCTCCATTTAAACATTAAAAAGAAAAATCTTAATCACGTTCCAGATGTCATGAACAATGCGAGTAATGGTGGAAAGAGGGTAGTATATATTGTTCACTCATAATTGTACAGGGTATACTTACAATCAATGTAAAATACTTTAGTTTTGTATATTACATGAACATTGCTGAATCATAATTAAGCACACTTCGTAAAACACTGGACTGATAAGGTATTATTAATAAAATAGCACCCTAGACAAAAAAGTAAGCAGGATTAAGTGTTTCATCTTGTAATAGCTTGTTTTTTCCTTTTTCACATAGATCCTACGTATTGTCTAAGCTTACCATTATTCTATCTCATTGACACATAATTTTGGTCTATTTGGGTTTAAATCAACAGTAATCACTCAATTTGTATCTTAGTCATCACCAAGTATAGGTTCGTGAAATAATGAAGCAAAAATACATTTATATGTATCAAAATCAATTCAGTAAGATTACTATAACGCTTACAATTCTATTTTTACAGTTATTATCTTATTTCTTATACATCTGACTCTAATAATTCATAATAGCATTATTCTTAATAAATAGTATAAATCGCTTCATGAATTGGAATTTTCTATTTATATGCACCATTCCAAATTCAATCATTTCTCATATTTCACACATCTAATCTGTTAACTATAATGAACATTCTCTATCAATAATTATGTCTGGGAATTATGATTTACAAGTGAAACTTAACGTACATTCCGGTTCGGAATATTTACTAAAATGATAGTCCTAAAATACCCATCTAGAACTTACTTTTTGTGGCTATTTCCTTTTATTCGTTATTTATAGTATGCTATTCTATTATTATATTCCTGAGTATTTTTGTATAACCTGATAAACGTTCAGCTTTGTTACACATTGCTTGTCCGCAATGCTGTAGTATTTCAATATATGTGTATATTTGTGTATTTAGCTTCTGACTTTGAACTCAGAATTCCCAGTAAAATGCAATATTCTACCTTTCAATTTCTTTTTTCTCCACTGTACCCGGTCATTTGGTTGTTATACCTCCTTCCTTATTTCTATATTATTGATTTTGCATACCTTTTTAATAATAGTTGTTATAATGCGATAGACTTTCAAATGACCTTATATAATCGAGATACTTTTTATTTACTGCTAACTGGTCAAACTACACATTTTTAACACAATTTTTGGGCAGTTCTCTAATAGCAATTATTTCGTAAATAATAACGTGCTTTTTTCTCTAATTCGAATTATATTAAATCCATGCTGTTTTATTAATTGTTTTTTGCTATTTTCAATTCTCTGGTACAGTAGTCACTTGACTACGTTCTTTAGGAAACATTATTCTGTGTCCAACCACACTATTATTATTTTCGAATATTCCCCTAATATATCCACACAATACATGTGACACTAGTACTTATACACATTCAATGATTTATGTCTTTCAAACATAGTTAAATAACACTTACAATTTTATACTTTTCCTTGTTCACTATTTCAACCAACTCATTTACATATTCCACTACCATATTCACATCAATAAACATATTGATGTTTCTTCCATCACGTGGTGGTTTCTTTGACAGATCAATATTATTCCCCGTCAAACTTCGATACGCCAATTGCGTCTTTTGTGCCATCATATCATAATACCGAGGCTTCAGCAATGGAGAAAAGAATTCAATAAATCCAGAATACGGCATCATAAACATTATATTTACAAAAGCAGCTCCGTGATATCCAAGCAAAATATCCGTGCTTCGCATTGATAATACTTGCATACGATGAGTATTTCGTTCAAAATACGCTTTCTCAAATTCCACAACATCTTTACACTTTGATGTGATATTTCTTATCATATCTCTTTCATTTAGAATTTGTCTCCACTCTCCTTGGCGTGCAATATAAAGTAATTTCAGCTTATCTGGCTTTGCGATTAGTTCGGAAATGCCATAGTAACGATAAGCTATTTTCTTCACAAGAAGTGGCTCAATATCTGAAAGAAACATATCAAGAACCGGTGTGTTAATAAATAAGAATATCTATATCAAATGAGATAAAAGTGAATACAGCACGTCGAAACCAAATATGATCGTGTTGTTCAAAGAAGGAGGAATATGGAACATAGAATGGTCGAATTTCAGGTGGAAACATGCTTAGTGTTTCATTAATATAGGACAGTACCCATTTGGATCGAGGATCACCTTCTATAAGTGTAGGATTAACAATAGTAAAAGCAGAGAACTAGAAAAAAGGAAAGAATCCTAAAATACCAGAGGGAACTTTTCGATGTTTGTGGCAATGTGATAAAAGTTTGTAATCCATTCTGCATTGTGATAAATATTCACATAGCCACGAGTCGACATAATGGCAACCCTGTCGTACCACACATTAGTGGAATAGGAACGATTAGAGGGTAGTAAAGCAATTGCATCGTGTGAAGGCATATCATTTGTAAGTGGAGCTACAGAAAAAGTACTATTGTACTCCCAATGTTCTACAGTAAACTCAACACAATTTTGTACTTTCTTTTACAGCCTGTTTTCTATGCAAAATCACACTATGCGATGTTTTTTTCAACTCAAACCATTCAGCATATTTCACACCCAAACCCAGATGCATCAAATAGGGAAAAATAGTGTATTTTGTGTGGGACAAGGATTGTGTTGTTTTGAGAAACGATTGATTATTGTAAAAATCAGAAATATTATCCCAGGATGCTGCTCTGGTAAAATCAGGAAAATCCAGTTTCATAAGCAAATAGGATGATTTGGGGATGGATAAGCGAGGCCGAATTTGAGTACTAAAACGAAGAGAAGTAAAAGGAGAAACAAGATATAGTATTTGTATTTCATCAATTCTAATTAGCACAAAATGCAATATTTTTACGTATAAAGCTGAGTAGAACAGAAGTACGAAGAAAGAGTGGTTAGAGTTGTCAGCAAGAAATAGTAGTACCAAGGAATTCTAGAAATCATAGATAATAGTTTTAATAAACCTAAATGGCATTGAATATAATGAATATCAAACAGCAAATAAATAATCAATACGCAATAAATAGTCTGCAAAATTACGCATATAGTCTATTATACTATGATTTACAAAAAGGCGTACATCCAACCTG